CAGGAAGAATGTAGAACCGCCTTGCGAGTAAGTAAAATAAACCTTGTAAGTTTAACTGGCTGATTTTGGTGGAGTTCCTCTCCTTCTCGCCGACCCCATTAGTAAGCGACACTAAAAAGCATCGTTTACCAGTGGAGAAGCCTTCTTCATCAGTAGTACACAAAAATAACCTTTATCAGAGGTGGACTGAGTTACAATCAGCAGAGTGCTGAAAAAGAAAGTTTATCAGATGGACAAAACTTTTAGCTATCCTTTAGTTTTCTAACGGATAACAGATTATCTTTAGTGTATTTTTTCCCAAAGACGGTCACAGTATTGACTTTAGCACAAGCAGAAAGCACAGTACCACCTGCTGCATCGTTGCGTCACTCCAGCAGTTCGTTGTTGTTTCGCTTTGTTGCATTTCATTACGACATGACGACATGAAATTTATTGCGGCGTTCTTTTTTTCTTTACAGCCTTTAATGCGAAGCAGCAAAGAAAAAAAAGCCAAAGAGAAAAGAAGTCACTACAGCATTATAGACTGAGCAAAACGCATTAAGCGACAACTTATGGAAAATATTATAAAATGTTCGTATCCAAAGATGACCGGTCAAAATGACCGGCCAGACGAGAGTTTGACCGGTCAAGTCCACGATCAGGCCGGACATTGTCCGTTGTTCGGCCGTTATTTTGAGCCCTGCTGCAATGCTTTAAGTCCGCTTAGCTAAACTGGAATTTGGAATACGCAATCTGAAATTGAGGATCATGGAGAAAAATCCGGAAACCTTGCAAATCTCTCTTATTGGAGTTAATTCAAAATGTGTAGTTAAATTTAATAATGCGCATTTTTATTATTATCTACATAGAGGTCATAGCTAAAAATGAAACGAAACAAAACTAAGACACGGGGGTGTCTTTACAACAATCTAATGCTGTTAAAATAAAGCGCAAGGTAAAACGGTGCTTAACATGGCTGTCAAAAGTCAGTTGCCATGGTAAAAACAGAAGGAAAGCACCAGATATTAAAACATCGACCTAAACCAGACGAGTCATCGATATATCAGCGGCGTCTTACAAAATGACTGAAATGATCCCGTCGACTTCCGCTCACTTGATCGATCGCAGCGAAGATATTTAACATATTTGAGTTAGTTTGAGTTATAAAACGGTCAATATTGTCGTTTCCAGTTTATATCACTAAAAAAATGTTAAATCTGTAATAGACTCAGCTGTATTGCATTGAACGACGCGGCAGTATGGTCTTCCCAAGGAACGCTGGCTTCGGTCGATGTTATTATTTAGTGTCAACACGTCTCGAAATCCTATCTAACAGCGACCGAAACCTAACCGCAACTCGGCTGCGGCTACGAAAAAACCGAAATAAAATAAATCCCGAGAGTGCGAATCCCATCCCAGTTTTATTGCTGTCATTTGAGTCTTAAACAGTAGTTTTCCAGCTTTTCGACTTTCACCTAACTGAAGTTTAAGAAGTTCATAATAAAAAAAAAGTTCTACTTCCACAATCACATGCCAACAATTGGCGCCAAATCTGAGAATACTCTGTGAATGACAATGGCGGGAGCAGAATCAAGCGATACACCGTGGTTATCTCTATTTTAAGTCGCATACGATCCATAGTCAGGATATATTAACCTTGGAGCTTTATATCTTAAAAAGCGTATGAAATTGCCACTATTACCAGTTTTAGGATATTTAATTTAACTGAAACACACAAGAGGATTTTCCAGCAGTGGCACGTACTTTGTACAAGTGTCCTCCGGCTAATTTGTATTTTCCACACGTTTACAGTACAAAAATCATGTCTGTCGAGCATCTGACTCATCTGGTTTAGGTCGATGTGATCTAGTGCTTTCCAAAACAGAAAACAGCCGACATTTCGCCACGCCACCACTGGTTTCCCCACGAAATGACGTCTGAGAAACGAGCTGCAGAAAATTTCTTACGCGGGACGATCAGTTGAAAGCAGGGCGGATAAAGGTTGGGCGGTGAAACGAGCGCGTCCGAGCAAAAAGGTGTGATGCAGTGGACTGGGACTCTGCTTAGAAATGTCGCTTGTTTTCGACTTCGGTCAGGGCTTGGGATGTGGTTTGTACATTAGACACTGCCGCTGTCACTGAATTATGGCGGCTTGATTTGTTTTCTTGCACTTCTTCCTCGTTCCTTTGTGCTGGTACGCTGTCTCCGAGAGGCAAATGTTGCTATTTTTTGCGGGAGGGTTAGTTGGAGTACTACATCTCTTTCAAAGGGTTTCTTTTATTACTTCCATGACTCTACCACTGAATTATATTTTCGTTCTGCTACTCGCCAATATCGATGTTATTCCAAAACAAAAACAACTAAGTACTGTCTAAAACACGAAGGAAAAGCTCATCCATGTCATCCATGGCAAAACTAAAAGACAGCAGATCGTGTTTCATAACTAGATGACGTGTATTTTATAAATGCGTGCAGCTTGTGCAAGGTGAAATTATGCTAATTTCAATCACCATCATCCTTCCTTTTAATTTTGAAAAAAACATCTCATACGTCTTTCTGTTTCTTCGAAACTTAAAGATTAGTTTCCCCTCAGTTTTTACTGTTTACCTTGTTTTTCTTTAGAGAGAAAAACGGAGAAAAAGCCTCACAAATAACCTCAATAAATTTTGTTTACATGCGGTTGTCGGATTTGCAACACATTGAGCGAATCGTCATGGCGCGTTGCACCCGAGAAACAAAGTTTGAAGAAGTACAACGCCACTATATCAATATATATCAATCTAATTTTTTGTTATGTTATACAAAATTTATCTCTATGGGAGTGTAAGAAAGAGAAGAAGGGAACGCCTGCTACAAATGCCGCGTCTTTTGCTCTTCGCCCCTTATTTCAATTATCCGTGCTGTCACTTCAACGACCAATCAGAATTAAGTGCACGCTTTTCTGCATGAATGACCTCCCGCAGGAAAGCGGTTTCGTAGCTGTAAAACTTGAGAAAATCTTCGCAACGGAATGTCGGCACCGCGACTCCCACAAAAATTTGTAAAAGGGGACGGAAACCCAATGTAAACGCTAAAAAAAAAAAAAAGAATAGCAGTTGTAGATTTTCTGGGGGAGGACGAGCCTCATTTGAAAATTTATTTTCGCCGCCGGGAAGAGTTGAAAGTGCGGGGCTGATTTTAGCTAATTGTTGCGGCGCTATTGGGTTGTGATTAACCAGAAACGAAAACTTGTCAGAACAGGTCTTGCAGACCTTGTGGTCGCAAAATTAGAAACGCAGCTCAACTGAACAGTTTCATCGGGAGAGCTGTACGCAACACGTCGAGAAAGATTTACATTGAGAGGCTGTGGAAGATCGAAGGAAAACACAGCTTCCCACCACTATCACGCCAGAACGAAACGTCTCGAATCTGACGGTGAACAGCTGAAAGAAAAAAGTCCTGGAAAGGTTAATTCTAGAAAGATCTTGTTTGCAGAAAGCTCGACAGTGAGTGACTCGCCGGACGCAGAATCGGGAATTGCTGGTATTGAAACATTTTATACACAGACGCCTGAGCAAGTAACACTTACACTTGCTGGACAAGATGCCGATATTTTGTTGAATTATTGTAGTCTAGAAGATATTACGGGAAAGCCAAACACTCAGCTTAAGGCACCAGCATTGATTTTGAATCTTAACGAAAAAGTTATCGTTCGGAAAATTTTTGACAACACGACGCAGGCTAACTGAAATCGCCAGTTTGGTTTGCTGAACAAGCTTGTTCTATTGTCCGATTAACGCAATAAGAATTTGCGGACGCCAGCGTCCGCAGAGGTGAACAAAACGGGGTTACTATAGCAGGCCTTCCCTTCCTTCTTTCCCCAATCCCCTCTCCGTTTTTTCCTCCCTTCTTCTTTTCTTTCTTACCCCCACTCCCCGCCCCCCTCCCACCACCTCCTGCTACCCAGGCTATCAAAAGCACTACCCAGATCTTTGTAGTGACGCTTCTCAGTATGGAATTTTTGCGCTCGTTTCGCAGACGTCATTTTGCCGTGAAACCAGTGGTTGCGTCGTGAAATGTGGGCTGTTTTCCCGGGCATCTTACAGGTCCAATGCATGATTGTTATGTACTTGGATGTTTTAAAATTCCTCCTCACAGTAATCGTTTTGTTTTCTCTTGTAGCACCAAAAATTTGCAAGACTGCCCTGTGCTATGAAATTTCTAAAGGTTTGTGCTATTTGTTGCATTATTTATAGAGTAGGTTGAGTTTGATCGTCTGGGTGAACGTAGTCCTGAATAGGACTGTTGTTGTTGACAGTGACTGACGTTTCAACAACCTGTGCGGTAGTCATCTTCAGAGTCAAAGTGAGTTGTAACACGTCAGTTGATGGTATCATACTCTGGTTGTTGATCTGATTGGTCAATTACGTCGCAATGTTATTGGTCGTCTGTCAGTTAAGCCGTGATGTTATTGGCTATGAAGACTCGTAATCAGTAATTGGTGCGTTGCGATCCGTCTATTGTCACAGTTTTAAACAGTCGTCTATTGTTAGTCAAATTGTCAGTTCTCTAGTCTTTCTCTCGTAGTTAGTTGTGCTTGATCTCGTCAATAAGTCGTTTGTACGGCGCTGGTAACTGTTGGCTACGATTCAGTGGCGTTTGTTCTAAGTTAGTAAACCAGCGCCGGACTACGTTCACCCGGACGATCAAACTCAACCTACTTTTGAAATGACTCCTGGGTTCAAACCTTTCGCATTCTTTATAGAGGCAAATCATTATTAAGCCTTATATATAGGTAACATTTCCTCATTGTCTCGTAGGCCCCTGAGACGCTCCAGAGTTGCGTTCTCCTTTAATTTTACCAACGACAAAAATCCCAGAAAGTAGAAAACAATCTGCCTTGATTCGCCTACAGTCTGGGACAAAAATGTTGAGAAAAATTGACGTTGCCATGTCTACTTTCAAGATAAAGCTCTTGAAAGCACTGGTAGCTACAAATACTTCCCCGTCCCCCAAAAAACAATGTTGAAGTCCGGCTGGATCATTTCTGATCCCATCTAAAGAACTTTGACCAGGGTCGAGTGAGAGGAGGGGCCATAGCGGTACCAATCCACGGGATAGTCGTTCTGTGGGTAAGAAAAGGGAGCTTTAGCATCGACGACGGCAACAGGAGCAAAAACATCACTTTTAAAATGAATTCCCGTTTTTTCAATATTTGTCGCGTTTATTCCAATCTGCTGAAAATGGCAAGTGTAGGCGAATTTCCCTGGAGTTGATTTCTTGAGGACCGCACTCAAGTTTAGAGAGAGAAAAAGAGATTCGTCGTCGCTTGTTTACGTCCTCCATAAAACTTGCAATTAGGCATTTTCACGTCGTAGTCGTGCAAGGACGGTAAAGAAATGCACAAAAAAGCGTGATGCACGTGCAAACCAGTTGTTGTTTTGCGTGATAAACCTATTGCTTTTTTTACGACCTGTTTGCCGTCGCCGTCGTCGTTGCTAAAGCACCCTAAAGTGAAACATTCTCAACACTTGTTGTCCAATAGTTTAGAGTTACTTAGCGCTCAAAACGTCCGCTATTCACCCATTTTTATTGCGGAAACTCACTTTAACAACTTACTTTCGATAAAACCAAACTGTTGTGTTTCACATCCCAACCGACGCTGCTCTATAGTAACTTTCGAAACTAGACCCTTTATACCCTATTAGCTAAACCAATAGCTTAGAAAAGGGGAGGGGGTAGCCTGAGAACGCAGACGTATTTTCGGCTAAAGCGACGACCGGAAATAGGTCTGCGTTCGCAGGCTTGGAGTGGGGGGAAAAGTGAAAGCCCTGGGNGTTGATTTCTTGAGGACCGCACTCAAGTTTAGAGAGAGAAAAAGAGATTCGTCGTCGCTTGTTTACGTCCTCCATAAAACTTGCAATTAGGCATTTTCACGTCGTAGTCGTGCAAGGACGGTAAAGAAATGCACAAAAAAGCGTGATGCACGTGCAAACCAGTTGTTGTTTTGCGTGATAAACCTATTGCTTTTTTTACGACCTGTTTGCCGTCGCCGTCGTCGTTGCTAAAGCACCCTAAAGTGAAACATTCTCAACACTTGTTGTCCAATAGTTTAGAGTTACTTAGCGCTCAAAACGTCCGCTATTCACCCATTTTTATTGCGGAAACTCACTTTAACAACTTACTTTCGATAAAACCAAACTGTTGTGTTTCACATCCCAACCGACGCTGCTCTATAGTAACTTTCGAAACTAGACCCTTTATACCCTATTAGCTAAACCAATAGCTTAGAAAAGGGGAGGGGGTAGCCTGAGAACGCAGACGTATTTTCGGCTAAAGCGACGACCGGAAATAGGTCTGCGTTCGCAGGCTTGGAGTGGGGGGAAAAGTGAAAGCCCTGGGAGCAAGGTTAACGTTCAAAGCGTCTGTGTGACTTTCGCGTTTTGCTAATTTGAGACTTTTGTTCGTTATTGAAGATATTTCCAATCAGCTGGACAAAAGTGTGGATCCATGTAATGATTTTTATTCCTACACCTGCGGAGGCTTCTTCAAAAGTCACAAGCTTGGAGCTAATGAAAGCCATGTTGGTTCTTCTACCATTATCTACAACGACAACTTGAAGGTTTTAAGAAGTGCTCTGCAGAATTCTTCGTTTAACTATTCCCAGGTTGGTGTGTCACTTTCGTCTTGTTGTTGCTGTGCGAGTGCGCGAGAGCGAGCGCGAGAAAAAAAAGAAATAGATTTTCTTCTATTTTCTCTTTTCCCCACCACCAACCCCTTGCGCTTTCGCTCAATGAATCCCCCGCCATGTTTTTTTCCATACGTGCAGTCGACAATCTCTAAAGAGAAAATAGAGGGTCTGTGAACAGGCTATAGTCGATCTCCCGTAATGAACTATGACCGAAGTTTTCGGTCATCGTTTTTATTTTGATGCGTTTTCGACCGTCCTTCCTAATACGCATATATATGCGTTTTCGTTTTCTAATCGATGCGTTTGCGATGAAAATGCTCTGCGTATTAATGCGGACGGAAGGCCTAAACGCATCGAAATATATGCGTTTTCAAACGAAAACGCATTGGTGTGGACAAGGCCTAAGTCTCCTAGAGTTTTTCATGTAAGGAAATTTCACGTCGTACTGTAGTCGTGCAGTGACGGCAACGAAAAGATCAAAAGAGTGTGCCGCTCGTGCAAACCTGGTTTGCTTATTAAACCTATTGCTTTTTTGACGTTCTCGTTGCCTTTTGCGTTTCTCTTTGGAACGCTATGCTGACTATGATCTTACCTAATGTCATTCTATTTACTTACAGAGTTTGTCCATCAAGAAAACAATCAAGATCTACAATTCCTGCCTTAATACAACTGCCATTAATAACCGAGGGAAGGACCCTTTGGTAAAGTTGATCGAGAAATACGGAGGATGGACCGTGACCAACACGAACCGATCGAACGTTTTACTAGAGGAACTCATGGGCCGGGTTCTGAGGGAACTAAATGTTCAAACCTTGCTGAAGGTTGTCGTTGTCACAGATTTGTATGATTCCAACAAACACATTCTTAACGTAAGTACAAATAAGGCGCATTCAGTCAGTTTGAAAACCTTTGAATAGACTAAATAAGCAGTAGAATTTCATAGTGGTTCAGTAGACTCACTCAAAAACCCCACCGTGGGGCGAGAAAAGAGGGAAGGTTCTCTCTCTCTCCAATGCCCTCTCCTTTTTTGCTCGCCTCGCCTTGCCAGTTCTAGTCATTTTTGGAGAATTGATACAATCTTCTGGATGTTTCAGTATAGCCCTCTCCCCTCTCAAATAAGCTCTCTTCTCCATTTTGCCCCCGCCTCAAACTTGCTTGAAATAAATAAGGAATCTTAAGGGGGGGGGGGGGGGGGGGGGGGGGAAACCGGCCCTTGTCCCCTTCACCTTAACACACCATTTGGAGGGGGGGGACAAAAACCCCGGGACTTTTTTCTTTCCGGTAGGGGGCGGTGGGCCCGGGTTTCAGGGTGTTTTGAATTGGTTCCGTTTTTGGTCGAAATGGGGGGGGGGCAGGAAAAAACGACCAAAGTTGGCTGAAGAGGGGCCACAATTAGAAGGGGGTGTACAAGAACCCGTGACATTTTTCGTTACGAGTAGGGGACGTAGGTCCCGGTTTCATGGTGTATCTGATATGTTCCGTCTTTGGTCTGAATGGGCGAGATGACAGAAAAAACGGACTAAAGTGGCTGCATAGTGCGCCATTACATGCCGACGTCCGATCTCAGCTCGCTGGTTCCTCCGCAATTCAGCCATTTGCTGCAAGTGAGAAAAATTGGCACCCCCGTTATTTTTATAATAGTGGTTTAATACGGGTCGAATAATTCATTCTTTGATTGACGGGTTTCACCTCGCATGAGCATCCAGCCCTATCTAGCCCAAAACTCCGAGTCAGTCACTAAAGGTTCATGAGATATCAGCCTGAAAAACTTGATTGTCCTTGCGGTTTTTAGATTATCCCGTCTCAGTTAGGAATGAGTGCTGGTTACTATAAAGACAAGTCTGAAAACGTAAAGGTTAGTTTGTTAATCAGTAACCTCATTCGCAGTGTCCTTAGTCTTCCTCCCTCACGCATTACAGGGCTCTCTTTTCTCTCCGTTAATAACAGAAGACTTGAGCCCTGTAATGCGTGAGGGAGAGATTTCAAAGTCTATAAATACACTTATTTCGATGGTTAAGCATATAATACGTGCGGATATTTTGCGAGTTGCGTGGAAAAATACGAGCAATGAGCAAAATGTCTGCTCGTATTATATGCTAAACCATCGAATAAGAGGTTTATTATTCCAGTACAAAAAAAGTGGTAATTTGCAATTGGCTTCTAGTTTTTTGGTAAGAGTATTCAGAAACATCCTGATTCCGTCTGTGACAATGATGTTAACAATGAGCAAAATCTTTGGGCGTATTATATGCCAAACCATTAAATGAGAAGTTAATTATTTCATAGGGTCCAGAGGAGATGTGTTTGTCGTTAGAACATCAAAACCCGTCGAAACCCTCTGAAAAAATGGGTTATTTTGATCGCGTTACAATTTCGTTCCACATTCTATATACCGCAAACCAAGAGACTGAGGGCTTGCAAGATTGGCTTATTACAGTATAAAATCCCTTTTTTACTCGGCACTTCGGGCGATGTGCTGTGCGCCAGCGAGGCTATGGCTTGCGATTATTGATTTTCAAAATGGCGAACGACAAAGTCGTCAGATAAGAAGCGAAGAAATCGTTTACAGTAGATTCATAAAGATCCCATTGGGCTAATTAATCGTGCTAAGCGATAAGTATAGACATTTTTCAAGGCGAGACTTTAAATAAGTAATTTATTTATTCACACGAAACTCCTCTGGACCCTGTGATTATTCTACTGCAAAAAAAATGTTATTTTGGCTTCTATTTTCTTTTATATTTTCGTCCGCCAGTTCGTCCAGTTCAGCCATAGTTGCTCCTTTTGCATCCGCCGGTATTCGCCCTGTTGTAAACCGGTTAAACCAGGACACTACAGTGTATTACGGCCTCGTATTTTGCGCGTTCTCTTAACCTTATATGATAAAATGACATAATAGTGGAATAATAATAATAAATAATTTATAATTTATATAGCGCCATTCAGCTACTCTTTCATAGCGCTTCACAATGATTATAAAACGTAGAACCTAAAAGCTAAAAAATACCGAGATAAATTAATTTCAAAGCTAAAAATATAAATACGTGTACAAGAAATGAAAGTTAAAAATCTAAAATCTTAAAATACTGCGATAAATTTACAGATAATAAAAATATAAATACGTGTACTAGAAAAAAACGTTAAAAGTCAGAGGCTTGTTTAAAAAGATAAGTCTTTAAATGTCTTTTAAAAATAGCGATTGATGGAGATTTGCGAATGCTAAGAGGCAAGTTATTCCATTGCCTTGGCGCAGCAGTGCTGAACGCCCGATCTCCATAAGTCGTTAGTTTAGCTAGTGGCACGGTGAACAGTTTTTGCCCACTGGAACATAATGACCGAGAGAACCTTCGATGACTCAGGAGACTAGAAATATAACACGGTACTCTTACGTGGATTACTAGGCAAAACCACTCAACCGTGACTGTGTGACAAGAGTTGTTTTTCTCATGAAAATCCTTCTAATTTTCGGAAGCCGTTGCAATCGCTGCTTTAAAGATATACGGCTGAAATTTTAATATGGTCTTTTAGTCTTTGCAATGAATTGTTTTTGTGTTTACAGAAAGGTGATGACATGACCAACTGTTGCAAAAGGCTTATCAGTGAAATTAAATTTTATCTTGACAGGCGTTTAACTCCAACAAACTACACTTAAATTTCGTGAATTTTTCGATTTTTCAAAATGTAAATTTGAGTGACAGATCCTTAGCCGGGACCATCATGTGACATGAGGAAAAAGCAACAACAATGACAAACGAATTTTTGTGATGTTGCCCTCTTTTACTCACAGATTCAAAAGGCGTACAAAACCTACATGAGAAGAATAGGCATCTTACTTGGAGGGGATCCCTCTACCGTGAAAGATAGAATGGATGAGATATATGACCTCGAGAAGAAACTTGCTAAGGTAGGTTTTAATTGGGTCTGGAAAGATGGGGTTGTTGTCCTGGTCCCGCAATCCCGCTTCGTTTTAATGAGAATCCCGTATCCCGAACTTCTGTCGTCGCTTTCCCGAATATCGTTTTCTTTTCCAGTCTCGCGTCCGTGTCCAAATTTTGGCGAATTCCGCTTTTCGGGTAGAAGACAAAGAATGTATCCCGTTCACGTTTCTCGAATCCCGAACTGTATTTTGGTCCAATCCCGGGTCCCAGGAACACCCAGTTCCATACCTTGTTTTAATGTCCAAGCTTGTTACCAAAGCCAAACATTTGAAAAGGTTTTCAACGTCACAATCTCGTCAACGGAATGTCAAAAGCTCTGTTTGAAGTTGTGTAGTAAAAGTAAGAGTGAATTTCATGCCAAGCTGTTGTTGCATTCAAAATAAGCAAGCATTGAGTCATTGGCTGTAGCTGACACGCACTTACGTTTTACAAGTCGCAAACCTTTTTGCGGACGTTTATAACCGCGGCAGCATTAGCTCCGTCGATAGAGCCGACAGTTGACTGTATAACTTCGCATGGCTCGGATGATCACGTAAAAAGGCGGTCCCGTCTCTTATAGGGAACGTAAAAAGAGTATCCCCAATTAGTACTTGCGTGCTGAGCACATTGACAATCAAATAAATTGTTTTTTCTTTTAACCGGGAAATGCTCTCCATGCCGCTGACACGAGCTATAATAAAAGTAAATGTATTTAATTCAGCTTTGACTCCTGGAAAAAAATGTGAAATCCAACTACACTTCCTCTTCTACTATTACTGACGCAAAGAAGAATAGTGCTTGCCTCCTTTCTTTACCCAGGCCTATGAAGCTGGTACCGTTTCCGACGATTTGGTAGAGACAGTTCAACAATATCATCGTTCGGGTCGAACAGTAGATTCTCTGGACAAGACCTTGGACGATTTTAGTTTTGCATCAGGTTTCACGGTTAGAATATTTAACAATTAATGAATGAGGCTGAGTATTATATAAAGAATTATGGAGATCGAGGAGGGTTTAGGCCAAGGCGGATAACACCATCCGAGATCTCCATAATTCTTCATATGATACGAAAGCCGAATTCAATAATTGTTTTATTATTCATTCAAAATTATTCCTAGTTTAAAAACAAAGCTAAAACATGCTTACCTCCATCGATGTTAAGTTCACCTTCGATAGTGAACGTCTAGGGTTGTTCAGCTCCGCAAATATTCTCCAAATAGCAGATGCCGCCCTTCGACTTGTGTTGTTACTGTTCTTGCCATGTTTTTAGCTATAATTTCGCCTAGTTCTTTCTGTTGAAACGAGTGAAATGTCCGCCTTTTTTTGTTTTTACAACCAAAACAACTCAACCTCGTCCCCAGGTCTTCTCGGTTAAAGGTGCATTAACCTGCAAGAACGCTGCATTTTTGACGTCATTTCCTCGTTAAACACAAAATTCTTCCAAATTTGGTCATCAGTAACTGGTTATGGTGAATTAGGCGTGTGCTTTTAGCCAATCAGAATCGGGGAAATATTTTGAATGAATAATAAATTCATATTATGTATCAGTCAGCTAGTATTATGTTAACATGGTCTTATCCCTGTTTGGCCAAATCCCTTTTTGGTGAGAAATGTAACGACTTCAAATGTCCCATCGTTTTAGCAATAAAAATATACATCGTTTAACCCGCTGTTTGATAAACAAGTGAGTAGTTTCAAAGTTGTTGAAGAGACACAAATTCGGCAAGGTTGATACTGCGTACAAAAAATGCACGTAATTCATCAATACTAATGGAGAAGAACATGATAGCAGCGTGACTGGTGAAGGCGTCCCATCCGTGTCATGTTGACGGCTTGCAAAGTTATTATTCTTCAGGAAACTGTACATGGCACCACCAATAGGGCTCCAAACGTACTGCATTTTAAGCAGCACCTCCAGGGCCCAGTTGTTCGAAGACCGATTAGCGCTTAACCCGGGGTTAAATTTAACCCTAGTTTCTTTTTCTTGTGCTCAAAAGAATTTTCTCGGAGAATTTTATCTGTTATCTTTAGAGCTTCGAATCATCAACTTGTAGACAAAAAGAATTAAAACTGAAATGCTTTTTAAACTTTCAAATCTGAATTCAAATCTCGCACTTACCCTGGGTTATCTTAACCCACCTTTGAACAACTCGGCCCTGCAGACCACCTTTTGAGAAGGTTGTGGGTTGGGTTATGGATAGAAAAACACACTGGACTCGAAGGACCCGTTTAAATGAATGCAGTATGCAATATGTTATCTTGGAAAGTTAATTTTTCTTTAGTAAACTTTAACTCTTAGTTGGTTCAGCTTATAGAAGCTGAGCTGAAATACTCAGTCATTGTTTTCCATACTTAATCTGTGAAGGAAAGACATTAAATGATTCTGTTGAAAGGAAAACAAAGCATGAGCGTATTTTGGTCATTTTTCTACAGCACATTGTCTCGAAAAATTGGCCCAATTTTTTAAAGTTGCAATCCGTTTCCATCCTGGCGCCCGTTTCTCGAAGGTCCCAGTATTTTTTTCGAGCGCAGAAAGCTGTCTTATGTTTTCCAGGTTTGCATTGAAGACCAAAGTTGAAATAATTTTGAAAATGATTAGATGAAACTATTAGTTAACGAAGCAAAACTGACTGGTTTGTGAGCTAAAAAATGGCTACTATTCAACTAGTTTTGACCGTAAAATTTGCCTTCGGGCCCGAAAAGTCGACTGGCCTTTCGAGTAACGGGCCATCGAGAGCTAAAGTCATACATTTGTACAATATGGTAAAGTATTGTAGAGTAAAACTGAGCCATTATTTCAAGGTTTTCTTTCATTACAATGCGTTTTTACAGATTTAAAGTCTTTAATACCAAAAAATCGTGTCATAGCTCCTTTAAGGATAGAGAAAGAAACACTGAACTCAAAGGACCCGTTTAAATGTTTTTTTTTTTTACATACAACAATGGCTAATAAGTCTGGACCAAGATCTTAGACATGTCAAGACCTAAGATTGCTTGTTTTTTTCATATTTGCAGGCCCGCTTTATGCAGAATTTTCTAAACGCCGCCTTTTCCCTCCAGGGAAAAAAATTCAGTTCAAACGAGGAGGTTTTTTACCAACACAAAAAGGGAGGTGAAGCACCAATATTCAAAAGTATATACGACACGTTTATCTCGTGAGTATTTTAATTCTGGCTGGTGTAAATAATAACTGTTAGCCTTACACCCCCATTTGACGCAAAATTTTCACGCTCTTAGCTAGGCCTAGGCCAAACGTCAAACTTTTCATGAGACGAACCAAACTCTCATTTCGGTCGACCTAAATTCGTCTGTTGGATCAGACTTCGCACTTAGGAAGCGTCGAACCAATTAACTGAATCAGACCAAAAAGCAGTTTTTAGCCGGCCAGTAATAAATTTTCTCCCGGACGAGGGTGAATATACATCATAATACAAATTTTTAATTTATCAGTTTAGTTCGTCGCATTTGAAGATCGACGTTTGTCCCGAGGCAATCTTCAGACGTTCTATCCGTCTGAAGCAGACGGATAGAACGTGTTGGACGATCTAAATTCATTCGGACAAACTTAACTGATCAAGACGTCGAACTTTTCATGTACTTAACTCGCTAAGTTTGGTTCGTCTCATGAAAAGTTCGACGTTTAGCCTAGTCCTTAGATTCACGTTCATGGGAAGCGGTAAACGTCAGTTTGTACCACGTGACGAAGTTTTCCGTTTACTTGTAGTTTCCTGTTCGTTATATGCATTGAAAAATAGAGAGGAGAAGTGTGACGTCAGGTTACCACGGTGGCAAAATTTCTGGCTCTCAACAGTTTTTCTTGACAGAGATAGCTATTTTAATTGTCGAACGATGGAATCATGAAAGTATGGGCTACCGTTTTGTTCCTGAGTGCAATGAAGCACTGGAAAGTCATACAAGTCAATTTTTTCGTTTTTTCCGTGCCATATTTGCCACGGTTTGTTGAAAGTTTGCTACCATAGCAACGTGACGTAACGACTTCTCTCTGTTTAGATTTATCCATGTTATTTTTTTAGGACAGTTTAAATATATCTGCTCATTTCCTAATTGTGAACATAAATTTGCCGTTTGCCGCTTGTCGTAAACGTGAATTTAAAATTCCCTATTATTTGATTTTAGTTACAACAGCCGAAGTTATATCGTCAAAAACTACATAATGTGGAAAGTTGTTTCCAATTACGTTCAGTCAATGCCTGATAGATTTGTTAAGGCTAAACTTCAGTTAAACGAAGCTGTGACTGGGAGGCGAGAATATCAAAGATGGTCGGCCTGTATCCAAGGATTGATGTTACCAATGGATATGACAATAGGGCGGATGTTTGTTGATGCACATTTTGATGAGAACACTAAATCGACGGTAAGGTGAAGTTTTCGTTGCGGTTACACTGGGAATCGCTCGGGAAAAATAAAACTTGCAAACATTTTTTCATTATGCTTTTCCCCCCCCCCCCCCACCCCAAAATTTTGCATATTAATTGTTTTCAATGTCTCTTGGGAGTAATAAACGACCCTTGAGAAACTGAAAACAAAACGTTTGCCAACTTTATGGGGGACAAACAGATTCGTATGGCGAATGTGAAAGTCGCATATAGGAAGCTTAAGCAACGATGACGGCGATGAGGGTGGAAACATCAGAAAAGCAATAGGTTGCAAAAGCCAAAAGCTTTGCAGCACGTGAATGTTTAGCTGCAACGTGCCTATTGTACTATAAAGCCTTTTCACATGACGTCACATCCAACATGTTGGTGTCCCAAAACATTAAGCCGGCGGCCCTGTGGGAGTTGAACTCTTTTCGGAGCTCAGGCATTATCCTATATGTGACTAGCACTGTAGTCGCTTTGTGGCAGCTTTCGTAAATCAACGCCTGCGTGTAATACTTGGCTGAAAATCCCAATTTAATGAGTCCAAAGTTGACTCCAAATAAAAAATACCGGTTACTCTGTTAAAAGGTGATGCTTGACATACCAAGTCAATATATGCACTATTGCGTTGTTCTAGTGCGTGAAGTTTATTGTGTTATTGTGTAAGGGCTAGGGATGATTGTTGTGTTCTTTGTGACGTAAATCGAGACTTGCTATTCACTTGGTATATGGTGCACCAGCTTCATTAGACTTTTTAATTACATGAATCAGCGGCGTCTCGTTTTTAATTTGCATTTTTTAGGTAAAGGACATGACCACTCGTGTTCGCAAGTCTTTCATTAATAACCTTAAATCACAAGACTGGATGGACAAGAATACAAAAGATAAGGCTAGAGAAAAGGTACGTGTTACTCCGGCCATGGGAAGGAGGGGAAGGGACACATTTCTAGAACGTTTGGTATGTGTGACATACTTACTAAATTCTTTGGCCTATTTCTGTCCTTTGTCTCCTAGTCCTAATTCATGAATAAGAAGGGATAGGAGACAAAGAAAATGGAGAATCGACTTAGGTTAAAAAGATTTAAGCTGAATTAATTTTGACCAACAGACACGTAATATTTTTCTTAAGCAAATTGTTTTTAAGTTTCCATTAATTGCCCAAAGACAGTCTTGGATTCTGCATTTCAGGCTTTGGATTCCAGATTTCTTGTCAGTGGAACTAAGATTCCAGATTTCAATCGTTAGTGGGATTTTGGATTCCTTGGGCTGGATTGCGGATCCTAAAGCCTAGGATTCCGGATCCCACGAACAAAGATTTTCCGCATTCCGCAATCCAGATTACATATTGACATGAGGCGAAAAAATACACAGTAAGAAACGTTTCCTAACACTTTTAACCCTATCAACACCAGCAACACTGACTAAAACAACTTCCCTCTGTACCATGACACGACACAGTTTTGCACCGCGTACCATTCATGTTGTATTTTGGTATTCCAGGCCAATGCCATGAAAGAGGATGTGGGGTACCCCTCTTTCATCAAAGATGACAGTAAGCTTGACGCTCTTTACGCAATGGTGAGCAAATCCTTTGATGGTTGTGTTTGTTCTTATATAATGTCCCAAAAGCTAAATCTTCATTCTGTCAAAATTTGATGTTTCTTTCACAATCACCAGTTAAATGTAAGTGATGATTTTTTTGACAACACTTTGGCATTAAACAAGATGGTGGTCCAGAAAAATTTGGGAATGCTTGATCAACAAGTCGATAGAGATAGGTAAGTACCTTTGAAGATTTATGGTGTTTCAATGTTATACACTATATAAATATATCCAGCAAACTTGTAGTTGTTCCATACTGTCATTGATTTTAACAAATTTTCTCAAGCACTTTTTTTTTGGTCGAGCTTGCTTTAGCAGCGAAAGATGTCGAGCTTTTCCGGAAACGGTCGGTCCACGAATTCTATCGCTTAAAAGCGTTGATTACTTTGGAACAAGCGAACACTTCAGTGAAAACTTCGGTGGTGAGGCTATAACCTGGTCGAGTGTTGTAAACTTTCATTGTTGGCAAATGAGCCTTGTGATGAGAATACGGTTTATTTTCGGCGATGATTGAAATGACGCGCCATGTTCATCACGTTTTTGGCCTCTGGCAATGATGTTATTTCTCTCGAATTGATTTTCGTGTATTTATACACGCGTACTCAATCATCGTCGAATACGATTTAAAACTCAAGCAAATATCCTGAAGAATACTCGACCTTCGATAAAGTAGGAAGTGAAAAACTTTTTGCGAGGAAATCCTGTTTCGTGTAGAACTAATCGCCTACTCATTTCTTATGAAATCTCCAAGCAAGCGAGAGTGGCCGCTTTTTTAAGAGCGTTCTTATTTGTCTCTTTCTTTTTTCCTGTGTGCGCACCAAAAGAGGAAGCATGGTCCAAGGCGTTCCTAGCGGAGACCGTGGAAACTAGGTATAAATATCGAGACGCGACCTACAACATATTTATAAGATGCCGTGTTTTTTCGGAACGGGTCGGTCCACGAATTCTATCGCTTGAAAGCGTTGATTACTTTGGAACAAGTGAATACTTCAGTGGTCGAAAAACGAAGAATCTTTATGAGCAAACTTCAGCGAAACTTTGCCCATGGTGAGGCTAACTGGTCGGGTGTTGTAAACTTTCATTGTATGCAAATGAGTCTTGTGATAAGCATGCGGTTTTATTTCGGCGATGATGGAAATGACGCGCCATTTTCATCACGTTTTTGCTCTTTGGCAATGATCTAATTTCTCTCGAATCGAGGCCCTTGATTTTCGTGTATTTGTACACGCGTTCTCAAATCGTCAAATACGCTGTAAAAAGTAAATATCCTGAAGATCACTCGACCGTCGATAAAGTAGGACCTGAAAAACTTTTAGCAAGGAAATCCTGTTTCGTGTAGAATGAATAAGCTCGGCTTAACGCCTTTTTAAAAGCGTTCTTGTTTATTTTATCAGTCTGTTTTGTCAAGTGCAATTTTGTATTCCACTAATAGTACCATCATAATTCTAGCTTAGTAAACAATGAAAACTCGAAGAATTCTCGTGGTACTGATTCTTTAAAAGCTTAGGAAGGCACGTAGGAAGATAGCGTTGTTAAGAAATTACTTAGTAGCAAGTTACTTAGTAGCAAAAATCGGCGACAAAATTGTGGTAGCTTCTGAGAACCAAACAATCCATACCCCTTCCCTCTGCCCTCCATTCAATGTTTAAGTGTCTGTTGTTTTCTTACAGGTAGCTCGAACAGCGACACAATATTGCATGGAGGGGACGGAGGAGAGAAAGCTTTATTTTCCCCTTTTAAAGTCGATAAAACGTCAGAAAGGCCCTTTAGGGGCAAAGTGTCTCAACTAATTTTGTCGCTGATTGTTATTCCTTGGGCTTTTCATAACCCTTAACTAGATTGTTACAAAATTGTCTTGTTTTCCGTTTAGTGTGTAACATTTGGCATGCACATTGTAGGTGGCCAGATGGTCCCGCACAAGTCAATGCATACTACAATCGGCGACAAAATCGAATAGGTAGGTGGGCGTTTCTGTTGTCATTAATCATGTCAATGACAATGACAGTGACGATGACCATTAAGTGACAATGACAATGACATTGACAATGACATTGACAATGACAATGAAGTGACAGTGACAACGACAATGACCATGACAGTGACGGTAACAATGACAGTGACAATTACAATAACAATGGCAGTGACAGTGACAATGATAATAACAGTGACAATTACAGTGATAATGACAATGACAATGACAGTGACGGTGATAGTGACAACGACAGTGAGAATGACAACAAAAATGACAATGGTAGTGACCGTGACTTAAATGACAATGATAATGATAATTGATAATGCCGTAAACAGACGCTCATAACCTACCCCACTTATAAGCACTCCCAGTTATAGGCCCATCTCACGACTGTAAACAAGAAAATACATCTGATCATTATAAGCCCCCCTCCAAATGTATTGAAATGAATTCGATTATGACGTTTTGAAGCTTAATAAAAAAAAAAAAAAACAGTAAACGAAATCCTATTTTGATCAGTACTGCTATAGCTTGTTTTGAAGCGCCGTTTCTATTCTAGACTGCGAGCAGTCTCTTTTTTTCTTTGCAACTTTACTGCACGCGAAACCCAAGCACGCAAGCGGCGATCGGTGAAGCCGCAAGCCGCAATAAACGAGGGCGTGTAACGTAAAGTCTGGTTTGCAATCGCGCTGGCTGAAATAAGAACTAGACGGACTTAAAGAGAAAAGGCGGACTACAAACAGTCAATTTCAATTCCGGTTATATGAGCTCTCGGATATAAGCCTCTCCGTTTTTAAGCATGTTTGTTTGTCTTTAACAGTGTTCTTGGCTGGAATCTTACAATCTCCCTTCTACAAAAAGAATTATCCAAGGTAGGTATACTTTGAAGCTGAGGTTAAATAAAAGTGGTAAATAGAATTTATAAGCACCAAAAATAAAAATCACAGCACTCTGGTTGAACTGCGTCGCTTAAATATTTGCCATTTTCGTACAACACTTACGTTTCTGGATCAAGGACATAAAGCCGAGCTGGCCTTATTAGAGGGCAATTTTGTCTGACCAATCCGTTCAGTACTCAAAAGCAGGTTTTGCTTGAGAACCCAAATAAGCGACCCAAAAACGTTTATAAATGGCTGTCGATACAGAATTAAGCGTACTTTACTAGCTATATGGTACTAATGCTTGCGCCTTGGATGTAAACAATGCTTTGTAAGCCAAACTGAATAGACCCTTTCATGGTATTTTCAACTTTTGACTGAGGCCGGTTGGCGAAAATCCGTCAAAACAGCTGGAAAGAACGTCTTAAAATCAGTACAGTTGTCAAGTTTCAAAGCTGTTTGTTGAAAACGTACGAAGGTATAGCTCCGCAAAGTTACGCAATTTTACAAACGTTTGTTTGGTGGGCGGCAAGTTTCCTCCCATTCCCCCGCACCACCACCACCACCACCACCACAGTACAAACGTCCGTAAAATTTCACGACTTTGGGGGCTATATCTTCTCTCGCTTTAGACGTATCGCTTTCAAAGCTTAGTAAGTTTAATTTACTAATGTTAAGGCGCACTTTTCAGCGGTGTCAACTGATTATAGCCCAATGATCACTATCAAAACCTGAAATGGTCTATTTTCACCGTTTCTCTGTAGATATTTCAACTATGGCTCATTGGGGTTGGTGGTTGGGCATGAACTTACCCATGGATTCGACGCAGGCGGTAATAATTTACGTATCGTCGAATTATATGAAAGCATTAAATTACTCGCTATTAACAAACGTATCAGCGGGGAAAAAGACAGTCTAACAAGGGCGGTTTCCATTTGTCAGACTGACCGGCGAGACCATTCCTGTCGTAATGAGAATTTCGCTTTTAATCAAAACTATCCGGCTAGATCATTCAAATCGTAAATAATATGCACGAAGGAGATGGTTTTTCATCAAAAGCTCTTGGAAAAAGCCTATTTCATTGTCAAAATGACTGGTCCGGCCATGGTCCTGCCGGCCTGTCCTGACTTCTGGAAACCACCCTTAGTAGTTTGTAAACATTGGGTCTTAAACTGATTTGAAACGTTGGCCACTCCAGTAGCGTCTCAACTCTATTCAAATATTTAATAACCAAAAGCTGTCTGAGTGTGGCGGCCTTACGTCGATCTGTGTAATTCTTAATATCATATTCAGTCTCATCTCACAATCGCTGATTACTATAACTTAACTTACTTTGAAATTGAAAGCACATAGCGCTAAGCACACATGTTGAGGCAGTTCGTTTCACAATGTTGGCGTATGAATGAAAAAAGGTCGCAAGTTTTCAGAGAATGAGAAACAAGCCGGACTTAGGAATGTGAAAGAGCTTTCAGACCTTTCTTAGGGGTCAGGAGATAGGAGAACTGAGATTTTAGGGGGTGGCGGTGGGGAGAGAGAGAAAGGAAGTTTCTTATTGTCGTGTGAAGTGACTGTTACGTTTTGTTTGTTCACTTGTTGGTTTGGCTTGTTTCAGGGCGTCTTTTTGATAAAGATGGAAATTTGAAAGACTGGTGGTCTCCAAGCTCGACATTGAATTTCAATTCTAGAGCCAGTTGTCTTATTTATCAATACAACAGCTATGAAGTGTTTGGGCACAATGTAAGTAGTTACTTGTGATCGCTCTTTTGCCAAAATCTTTTCACCGCTTGCCCGCGAGGGGTGTCTCGTGGTTACTTGAATAATCAGGTCTTTGTTTTCTTTCTGACAGTTAACTGAACCACATTCACAATCTGCATCTAGCTGGATCTACAACTTTAATCTATAATTGTTTACATTACATAGATATGGTCAGCTAGAGGTCACAGCATTGAGATAGATAGATACTTTATTATAAACACCATTGCAGCCATAGGCTGAATTACGGGATATTTACAAATACTGATGATAACAAAGAGAAAATAAGAAAATTATCTACATCTTATAGACATGGCTAAAAATAAAACTTTTCTTCAAACGCTCGGTTTTACATAGGGGGAGAGTGAAATCACTTTTGCGTCTCAGTGCATATTTACAACTCTTCCGTTGGGGGAGGAGGCTATGGAGACTGTGGGTGGGGTTACAGACGATCTCGTCAAACAGATCGATTGAAATCTTTTCTCTCCTCTCATGAAGTTTCGGTAGGCCAACTGTTTCTAGTGCTACACTATATGACAGGTCAGGATAGATGATTCTGAAAGCCCTTCTTTGGATCCGTTCCAAATCTTCACTGATGTAGTTTGGTAGAGAACGATGGAATACAGGACTTGCGTATTCCAGGACGGGCCTAATACATGTCACATAGAATTGCACCAGTTCACTTGGTGCCACTCCGGATCTCTTGAGTTGACGTAAAAAATAGAGACGAGAGGAACATTTTCTAATTAGTTCAGAGGAGTGCATGTTCCACTTTAAATCGTGGCTAATGGTCACGCCTAGCAATTTGGCACTGGTGACTAATTCAAGGGGCTTGCCATTTAGGACTAGGGGTTCAAAATCGTGGTTGCTGTTGGAGAATCCATTTCGAAGTTCTTTGCACTTGGCCTCATTCAGTTGAAACCCATCGAGACTCGCTTGTCTCGAAAGGTCATCCAGAGCTTCTTGGAGTTTGCTCTCACTACCCTTGGTAACTATTTCGGAACAAGATGTATCATCCACGTATTTCCACATGTCAACTGGTGTGTCCAAGTCATTAATCATGACAAGAAATAACCAGGGGCCTAGTTTTGTTCCCTTAGGGACACCGGATGGCACAGAGCACCATTCAGAGTGACAATCCTGAGCAAGTTTAATTCTTTGTTTCCGGTCCATCAAGAAGTCAACAATCCAACCTTTGACTTGACTCGGAATATCATATGTTGTTAGTTTTTGAACAAGAACACTGTGATCGATAAGGTAAAAGGCCTTACGGAAATCAAGTAGGACTACTCTTGCCGTGGCACCATTTCCGTCGGTGTTAACAAGCCAATTATGCGTCATATTGACCAAGGCATGTGTAGTAGACGATTTGGGAATAGTTCCAAATTGTCGAGGGTCGATTCTTTGTAACACAGCTGGTTTAACGTACTTTTCAACAATGTGATCTTCAGCGAGTTTAGACAGGATAGGCGTAAGGGAAATCGGACGGAGGTGCTTGTTAATGTCATTAATAGGCCTTTGTTTTGGGACCGGGACATACTAAATAGCAAAGTAGAACGGAATCAGTATTGAACAATACACATGATTACTATTTAAAAAGCTGGGTTACTTATAAATAAATTACAAATAATTTAAATAGACTTAAATGAAACTAAACACCATCAGATATACTCTTGTTGTAACAGATTAAATAATTAAATTTTTTGCGGCTCGTTTGAAACCATCATATGATTCAGATTCAATCACAGAATTGCTTAAACTATTCCAATCCCTAATTGTTCTAGCAAAAAACCTAAACTTGTAAGTACTTCCTGATGAGCAGGGATTAGGATTACTGGCGAGTGATTCTTCCCTTAGATTCAATGTGGTTAGGTATATTAAGGCAAACTGTGTTGTTTACGGCCTTTCGCTACTACTGCCAACTTCATAAGAAAAACTAATGGGAGAAGTAGCCCCGGAGAATCGCATTAAATTACATTTCTGTAGCTTAAATTTAAGGTTCCATTTGGAGGCCCACAAGAAAAAATTGGTCAAGTCATTTTTGCAGATTGACCAAGTCAATGTGTATCTCTACAACGCTATTGTTTCTTTTGACTATTACAGATAAACGGTAAACAGACCTTGAATGAGAACATAGCTGATAACGGAGGGATAAAACTGGCATATGACGTAAGCTACGGGAAAATTATAGTAATTAATATATATATCTATTATTTGTTGCGACTTTCGCGTTCCCCATAATTATTATTCCAGTTTGTTTTATCCACAAAATTGTGCATCAGTATTGTTTTGAATTTCTCTTGCGACTAACAATCCCCCTTGAGAAAATGTTTTTGAGAAGAATTAAGTTTGCGCTCAACTCTCTTAAACGAACACTGTGGGACGTCTTGCAGGGGTATCCGCCTTAGGAAGAGTAAAATAGCCTGCGAATTCAGCCCCCTTTCATTGCTCCCTGCCGCTGAGGACCTTTTCTTTAGGGGCAGGAACCACTGTAGGTGTCCGTGTTATGGAGATGTCCTTCTTATAGAGAGTTAACTAATAGGATTAAAGAAAGGCGGAGACCACTCTAACAGTCCGTATTTGGGAGGTGTGCGTCTTATAGAGGAGTAAAGAAAGGCAGTGACCACTCTCAATGTCCGTTTTAGCGAGTTGTTCGTCCTTCTATAGAGAGTCAACTAGAAGGAGTAGAGAAAGGCGGGGACCAATTATAGGTGTCCGTTATATTGAGGTGTCCGTCTTATAGATAATCAACTAAAAGGAGTAAAGAAAGGCAGTGAAAACTCTTAGTGTCCGTTTTAGCGAGTTGTTCGTCCTGTAGAGAGTCAACTAGAAGGAGTAACGAAAGGCAGGGAGCCACTCTAGGTGTCCGTTTTATCGAGGTGTCCGTCTTATAGAGAGTCAAATAAAGGGTGTAACGAAAGGCAGGGACCAATTCTAGGTGTCTGTTTTACCGAGGTGTCCGTCTAATAGAGAGTCAAATAAAGGGAGTAAAGAAAGGCAGGGAGCCACTCTAGGTGTCCGTTTTACCGAGGTGTCTGTCTTATAGAGAGTCAAATAAAGGGTGTAAAGAAAGGCAGGGACCAACTCTTGGTGTCCATTTTACAGAGATGTCCATCTTAAACAGAGTCAAATAAAGGGGAGTAAAGAAAGGCAGGCACCAACTCTAGGTGGCCGCTTTACTGAGGTGTCCGTCTTATAGAGAGTCAACTAAAAGGGGTAAAGAAGGGCATGACCACTCAGTGCTAGGTTTAGGAGGGTGTCCGTGGTGTCTTTTAAGAAAGAGTTGGTTGTATATTATCAGTATAACTGCCTTTGTTCTGTTTCATGTTGCCTGCCTCTTTTATACAGGCATATAAATCTTGGGTTTCGGACCATGAAAAGGAAGGGCAGCTACCGGACTTGAATTTGAGCGTGGATCAACTTTTCTTTATAGGATTCGCTACGGTAAGTTATGTACATATCGAACACTACTTAGAGACAACTATGTATTGTTGCAACAAGGTTTCCTGGGTTTTTTGTACCCGCAAAATTTGTTACATAGTCTACAGCCCCTGTAGTGGAAAAATACTGCTTATCTGAAATAACTGCCTGGATTTCCAAGAATTATGTTCGACACAAACTCTTTATTTTCTATACAGGCCAAAAGTCCCTAGATAGTTAGAAGGAGATTTTTAGGTGTGGTGNTGTTGCCTGCCTCTTTTATACAGGCATATAAATCTTGGGTTTCGGACCATGAAAAGGAAGGGCAGCTACCGGACTTGAATTTGAGCGTGGATCAACTTTTCTTTATAGGATTCGCTACGGTAAGTTATGTACATATCGAACACTACTTAGAGACAACTATGTATTGT